AATGTGGTTTGGATCCTATTACTATTAGGTGGATTTGTAACTAGTTAACAGATTGTACCCAAACAGTGTATGTATGTGTGGGGGAGGCATTTATGAATTTCCTGCATTGTGCAGTGGGTTGAACTAGATGTCCCTGGATGTCCCTTCCAAGTCTATGGTTCTATTCTATGACTCCCTGGAACCATTACAGCACACAAAAATGATGCCAGAGAGGGGAACCTGAAGCCCATTGTCCCTGCACAATGCAGTCAGGATCAGAAATGGGCCTGCGTACACCTGCAAGGCACAGAACTCCCATAGCACGTCTGACACAAAGTCCTCATGGCAGTCACAAGGACTTTGTACCATGGGAACTGGCCCAGTGCAACTGCCTTCTCACTGTCTCCCAGGTTCAAGGTAGCTTCTAAACTTGTCTTCAAAAAGTGAAGAACACAAAAACACACACACAAGGAAACTGTTATTTCATCTCCCTCAAATATTTTTACACTTAATCATAACCAAAAATGGGCACAATCCAGAGGAAGTTAGGTATGTTTAAGTCCCATGAAAATGATGGCTGAACTGAGGCAGGATGTAACTTGAGAATATTTTTGTCCCTTCTGCCTGCTCTCAGCAGTTTTGCATACTGTTTTGCAGAACTGTGTGCAAAAGAGCAGAGGTCAGGTGCAGAAGGAATGCATGCACACTGCTGAGGTGAATGGGTTGTCACTCCTTTGCTTTGATCCAGTCACGTACAGTTGACTAACCAAAGCAGAAGGTGTGCAGAGAGAATTTTGACTCATATCCAAACACGTCCCACCAAAAGTAAAGAAATGTGAATGAACGATAGCTCCACCCATATCCACTCTAATGCTGTGGTTGTCCATTTGTATTTTCCAAAGGAACGTGCATCTTATCCACGCTCGGCTCGTCTGCCTAGGGCCCTATTCCGTTGTTAGTTTTAGTGCTTCAGCCTCAGCTAACAGGACAGTAAGTTGTTTGTGATCCTCCCCATGAACAGATCACCTTATTGTGTGTGAATAGGGCAGCATGTGTTTTCTGGCTTCAGTATGTGTGTTTTCTGGCTTCGTATAGGGTGGATGAGAATTCTGTGAGCTATTAATTCTGTAATTAAATTATGCCGCACATGCATGTTTGCATATACCTGCTTGTTATATGTCCTTTATAGCAAAATGTAAGATTCCTCCTCACTTTTTGAGCTACAATCCTTTGCTCCAAGTTTTGCAGAAGAGACTTAGGAACAACAGACAGAGCACTGTGGTATGGTATGCGAACTAGGAATACTGCAGTAAAGACCTTAACCATCAGAACCTACCCAACATTCACATCTAGTATTACATGCTATATATCCCTTATAAACTGTTTGAAAGCTGACTTTACCCAGCATCAAACTACACCCACCATCTATCCTGATGAACTGACCTGAAACATCTAACTGTAACAAGAATGGTCTTTATACAAAGCTTTAAGATTTGAAAGCAATCCATTAATGCTCTAACTTTTTAAGCAACAAAACATTACTGATTTCCTTTCACATAATAAGGAAACAATGTTTTATGTTGCAACAAATCCCTTATAAAAAAAATTAAAGCTCTTGTAAACATGTCACTGAGATATATCTTCCTTAAGACTGTTGTTTTCATGTGGACAGCCACTATAAATCATTTTTAATTGGATGGTGGTATAAAAGAAACACTCAGGTAATATTTATCTATCAGAACATTGACATGATTAACAAATTTGTGCCTGTTCTAAACAGATAATATGGCATAAACATCAATATCCTAAACAGTGATGGATAGTGCTTCAACTGGAGAGTTTTCTTATTAAAGTTTGATGGTGTCTGGATAAAAGAAGCTACATAACTGCCAGAGTTTATTATTTTTGTTAATGTATATGCTTGTGGTTTAGGACTGTAAATTATTGGGGGGGGGGGGCGTGGCACCACACTTTGTTGGGTGAAGCACTGTGGTGGTTCAGACTAAGGTGTAATATTTTCTGCCACCATGCCAACTTGCCAGAGACCTGATTAATGCCATGGTTGAATGGGGCCAGTTGAATGGGGCCAGTTGAATTCTATCTGAAAATAACATTTCTGATTCTGGCCTGGCTAATCATTCTGAAGAAGGTAACAGCGTTCCGTGCACCTTGGTGTTTAGTCATGCCGGCCACATGACCACGGAAATGTCTTTGGACAGCGCTGGCTTTTCGGCTTTGAAACGGAAATGAGCACCGCAACCCTAGAGTCGGATTCGACTGGCTTTCGAGCAAGGGAACCTTTACCTTTACTAATCACTCTGAATTATTCATATTTCAGGAAGAACAAATTGTCAACTGGCTACTACTACCCGCTTCTTGCTTTCATGCCTCTCTACTTTGTAATCTGTGATTTAGGCTGGCTAATCTCCAGTTTATCTCTTTTCCTTGCATAACCCTCTCTGGCTCCTCTGACAGTGACAGAAAGATACAGGAAGGTTCAAAGGAATAGCTACAAATAGTAGATAGACATTTGGAACAATGTATTTATAGCCAGGACTAATCAATGCTTTCTAGAAAGCGAAGCTGCAAAAATATGAGGGAATCTTGTACGTTTTATGGAGACAATGTCTGGCGGAAAGAGGAGGAGAAGAAAAGCATTGTGGCACCAGGGGCAGAAGGGTTCGACTGGTGTAAAGTGGGAAGGAACTAGATTTTGGTACCTGGTCCTGGTTCATATTCCTTTTGTTAGCACGATTATGGATTCCTTTGTGTGCTGCTGGTATACCTTTAGCTCAATGAGACTACAGGGTACAGCATTGACTGTTCACACTTGTCTGTTTGTTTTCTGTTTACCATGCTGGCATTTTATAAAGGGCACTTGTATGTGCAGTGGGAGCAAGTGCGCATTATCAAAAGCATATGTATGAACCTATGATGATAAACCCTTATACACGATGGCTTTGCAGTCAGACCCCTCCCCTCGCTTTGGGGCAGTTTATAGCTAGAAAACCATAAACACCCTTCCTAAAATGTCATCCCAAATATCCTAAGTGCAATACATTGCCTGGCCCAAAATGACACAAAACGGATGCCAGCCAGAGACAAACCTGGACATATAGTTTAGAAGTGTGAGAAAGGGCAGCTAACAACCTCCTCCCCAGCCTAGAGAGACACATAATTAAGGGCAATGGGTCTCCCAAGAAAACTACTGCCTCACCTTGAATTAACCTTGCCAACGCCCAGTCTCACTTCCCCTCACCCATTTACCCTGATTAAGCAACACTTAACACTATCCACCAAAACACAGAAGCTTTTTCCATTTGGTACTTACAGGGTCATCAAGCACCACTTACACTTATAGTCCACCTCAGATAAACCCATCAAGCTGTTCCCAAAGCATTGCTCACCTCCCAAGTTATCGTTTTGGGGGACGAATATGTCAGCTTCCCCCACGGGGCATTTTGCTTTCTAAATTATGGCATCCTGCTCCATAGCAGTGTGTGTGTGTCTCAGACCTCTGTCACGGCTCAGGTGGGGTGTCACCTGACGCTGCCACCATTCTGGTTCCAGGCTCCCTTGAGAAGGCCCAGAGCACCCTCCCAAGACCTTCTGACCTCCCTTATGGCCAAATAATAGGCGTGAGGACCAGGCAGAGTGAACAATGAAAATAGTTTATTGTAGAGGAGGTCAAACAACCAAGGTGCAGAATTATAACAGTAAGTGGGTGAAAAGAAATCAAATGCCCTAACACGTCTAAATATATACTGTCCCTAGCTCACTATTCCAAGTGGCACTAAACTACTCACCCTTCCCTCAGGATGAGGGTCTCTTCCCTACAGCAGCCTCAGTCCCTTCTGGCTTCTAGGAAAAAGAACAGCTTTTCCTGCTGCTCCAGATCTTTTATTCCAAGCCCTCTTTTCCTATTGGTCAATTTTGGCTCAAAAACCTCTCAGGGGCTTCTGGGAGTTGTAGGCCCAGCCTCACCTACTGCTAGCCAAGCTCCCTGGGCCTAGCAGGCCTCTGGTGGCACAGCCCAGATCATGACAATCTCACACTCCCAAATCTGTTTGGGTCTTCTCTTCTTCTCTCTATGAAACACTGGCCATTTTGTTGTTGCTTTCATGGACCTCTTTCTTTGAGACTGGTAATTAATTTGTTTTCTCCCCTTTTCTCCCTGAATTCCTCTTAGCTAGCTTGCATGTGTCTCTGTGTGTGTTTTGCCCTTTTATTTCTCTTTTAATAAAAAAAACCTTTCTGGTTGAACATCTGCCTGGTTTATTTGAAGAGTTCTCTTAAAGGAAAAAGTCCCATAAACATAGGTGGAGAATCCCAGTTACCCCCTCTCTGTTTGTCTCCTTTTAAACTAATTTTCCCCAATTAAATAGGAGATTGCCTCTTTGGGTGACAGGGTTAGCGGCCTTTTGCACACACAAGCTCAGGTTTAAAAAATTCAAAACTGGCAATGGACAATGCACTAGTTCATTCAAGCACAACATCAGGCATGATTACTGATGTCATCTTGGAGCTACCAGATGATGCTAGAAATTACAATTCCATATTTGAAAAGAAGTAAGTAGCAAACTTAAAAATGTAAGCAATTATGAGATGGCCTCTTGGCACTGAAAGCCCCCTTCTGGAAAAAGATGTGTGTTTAGGAAGAGGAACACAAGGATAACTATAAATGCAGCTGGAACAGCCCATTTCTTACGTGTGCAAACAAAGGCATAGGTGGGTCAAGTATAGGTTAATTTTAGTGTCATATTTAGGCCTTCACATTTCACTTCTCTGAATGATTAGAACTACCAGAGACAGTGTTTCCCAGATTTGGTTTCTTTGGAACAGAGAGCAAGGGAGATGTACAGTGTCTTGGGTCAGTCACAAGCTCTGGCACAGCTGTCCTTGAAAAAGAGCAGTTTGTGTCAGAGTTCTCTCAGCCCCACCCACCTCACAGGGTGTCTGTTGTGGGGAAGGGAAGGGAAAGGAGTTTGTAAACCGCTCTGAGACTCCAAGTGAAGGGCGGGGGGTATAAATCCAATCTCTTCTTCTTTGCAGTATTTTATTTACAAATATACAACTAGAGTACAGGAGGAGGCATCCACAAATATACAGGGCAGCAACCAGCTTTGAGAGGCATCTCATTCAAGAACTACCAGGAGACAATTAACTTCCATTCAGGAAATGTACAGAACTGTTCAAAAACAACAACAATCTTTTGCCCAGTGTCCCCACTGTGTAACGATATTGCCAGTACTCAGACAGCAATCTTGCAACAATATCTTTAAAGGCCGGGGCATGTAGTGTGGGACTCCGGTCAAAGGTTAAGGGCCCAGAATTATTGTAATGCTGTTTTTGGGCTGATGTTTTTCTTAGGTCATTATGTTGTACAGAGTGGGTTTCTTGTTTTGGAATTTGTCCAAGATTTTTGTGGACTTTGTCTCTCAAACTTAATCCACTCCTATGAGGACAATTTGTAAGCAGGCATTCTATTAGGTTGCTGTGGATATGGGAAGAGAGTGGATATGGTTTAACGGGGAAAAAAGGTATAGTATTTGTAATTATTTTCTTTTTTCTAATTCATAATAAATATAGCAATGTTATCGTTAAAAAAACTTGAACTTTCATCATGCTCACCTTCAGATGGAATACAAAAAGACACACAAAAAACACCAACTCTGTGAAGCCAGAAATGTAATTAAACCCTTTTCTTACAGATGGTCTCACATTCATTGGCGATAAGACTGCAGTGACAGGCTAGTTAATCTAAACCTTCCTGCACGTATTACTTAACACAATCTCCTAAGACATTTCTATGCAGCCTGAACACAACTGCACTAGGATGAGGACTTGCACATCTATTTCATCACAACATGAAAGGAGACTCCAGGGGTGCAGTTTCTGCTGAAGAATATTATGGCTTCTTAAGGGTTCTCTGTTTGGTGAAATCTTTTAGCTTCTTTGATGACCTCTGCAAGCCTCTGGAAACCCTACAATAAAAAAAAGGCAAGCCAGTCAAGCGCCGTTGCAGGGCCCTAATATAAAGGAATAACCAAGGAACCAAGACCAATGACTCAAAAGAACCCAGTTTTGCACTTGAGACATCAAATTAAATGCACAGCAATATGCACAGGCAATGTGAAGGAACACTGTGGTGAATGGGGAGTCTGTGTGAACCTTCCAAAGCCCCATCCAGCCTTCCCTCCGTACGCCATATAAATGACTCCTGCTCTAGAGCCTTAGAAGCATGACACGGAAATAGAAGGCTGGGTAAAGGATGTGAGGAAAGACCACCCATTCCCTGCAGTGCCTCCTTGTATTATTTGCGTGCAGGGCTCTACTGGTAGCAGGAGCTCCTTTGCATATTAGGCCCACTAGTGTAGCCAATCCTCCAAGAGCTTACAGAGCTCTTCTTACTGGGGCTACTGTAAGCTCTTGGAGGATTGGCTACACTAGGGGTGTGTGGCCTAATATGCAAAGGAGCTCCTGCTACCAGTAGAGCCCTGTTTGCGTGAATGCCTAGGTACTCAGGGTGGCAGGGGGTCAGGGAAAACAGGCAGTTACTCCTCAGAACAATCCTTAACAGAGTTACACCCTTCTAAGCCCACTGACTTCAATGGACTTAACGCTAAGTTAATTGACCTGGCAACATTTCTCGGGTACTAAGTCTAAAACCATTTGAAAAAGAAATGAGATGCCTAAAAGGCTTCACATGTTATATACTAAACACCAACAATCTGGCATAAACTTTTCCCCATATTTGCCCTGTGTGCATATGGTAGAAAACCAATATTTGTTGCTGGAAAACATTATAAAATGGTTCTAAGATCACCCAAATGGAGTAACTTCCAGCCAGTGACTAAGTCGTTCAGTCAGGTGTACACAAAACAGGCCCATAATGCACAAACTGAAGCAACCCCCCCCCCAGCAATATGGCAGTACCGACTGGAGTGGGTAAGACTCTGAAATGGAAGTTTAACTCTGGGTGATGAAGAACAGAGATTTAGTGACAGCAACCCTGACTAAACAGTTAACTGCACTCACCTGATCAATCTGGCTTGGAGAAGATAACGAGAAGGAAGCTCTGACATATGAACTAGGTTCAGAACTATCGATGTGAAACGCTTGCCCAGGAACTAGTAGGACCTAAAGAGGAATCCTTTGTGATCAGTTATAAGTTTTCTGTAACCTTCCAAATTGTAAAAGTATATATGTTGGCTTGTATGATCCAAAAATGGAGCAGTTTACAAAGTGGGCCTTTCCTGCCTCTCCCACCAGCTGCAGTCCACTGAACTCCCCACCTCTTGTTCGGGGTGTGTGTGTGTGTCTGTGTGTCTTTATGAACAGTATAAAGGACAAAGTGGGAGGAAGAAATTGCTGGAATCCCTCCCCACAATGTTTCTTTGTAGGAAAGAGGTGGTAGGATACAAGCCCTTGTTATTAAGAGCACCTTCCTCCCAGTATTATGTTGCAACCAGGAGGTATTTTTCATACTTGTTTCTCCAAAGCTTTTTCCATTATTAGGTGCTCTGTGTCAGAAATTCCTTTAATTTTAATCCAGAGAAACATTCCGGCAGCAGGGGCGTGCCAGTCTGCTAGGTCTAAAAAGAGAGAGAAACACATACCAGGGTGAAGGAAAATTTACTTTTAAGGAGATATTCTAGAATCACACTGATTATAATCTGTTGTTAAGCGGCACTCTCTTTTCCAACCTACCACTCTGAAGAATAGATTTAAACAGGGCTTTTTTTGTAGAAAAAGCCCAGCAGGAACTCATTAGCATAACAGGCCACACCCCTGACAGTGCTGCTCATTAGCATATTAGACCACACCCCATGTCTTCCCTTGGCTTGCCCGGGCAAGCCCCCCCTTGAAAGAAAGGGAAGGCAGTTTAAACTACCTTCACTTGGCTTGCCTGGGCACCCTGTGGCTGCAGGGAGCCTGGGCAAGCCGGCCCTTGGACAGGCCAGGGAAGGCATGGGAAGGCATTTAAAGGTCTCCCTGATCCTTCCAGACCCCCCCCCCGGCCCGCCCACCTCAGAGTCACCGGGTGGGGGGTTTACTCTCCAGGCCTTCCCTCTGTAGCCATGCACGCAAAGGTTTTGGCTGTAGTGGGTGTGGCCAACTCTGAAGCCAGCCAGAACTCCTTTCCTGTGCGTTCCTGCCAAAAAATAGCCCTGGATTTAAAAGCTTTCAGAGATGTAAGCTATAAAATTGATCTGAGTGTTCCTTGGTGCTGTCCCACCTTACAGGGTTGGCCTGCAGTGAGTAGTTCTACCAGTTAATGCTGCACCAAAGCAGAGTGGCGAAGCCCTCCAGGGAATTCTCAGCGGTCACATTGCACAGCTGTTTCTGGTCAGAAAGGGGTGGGCGGGCGGGATCAGTCCCCATTCTGAAAACAGCAGGAAGTTCCCACTGACCCAACTAGCCCAGAGATTCATAGAAGCAATTTCTCAATTACTGCATACTTTATTCAGCAACAGACACCAAGCTGTTAGTAAGTCCCCCTTAGCCTTCTATAAGGCAAGAGAACAAAGCAGCAGACTCCTACATGCACAGAGACAACACGCTACGGTGCCCCAGGGTCAGATGAACTGGCTGGCAGAATCTTCTCAGGATGAAAAGAGGACGACCCTTTTCCCCACTAAAGGCTCTCTTTTTATATTGTGTTCAAACTAATGGGCCTGTGGAGCTGCGCTACGTCACTTTGAACATACGTAACCATGTGTGTGACTGTATATTTTGTACATGCTGGAGTTGCTCTGAAGGATAGGACAGGGCAGAGCCTTCTTGGATCTCATCTGGATCTTGGTAACAGTATATTCTCATAGGACCAGCCTTAGGGGGTCTCGTTCTCTAGTAACAAACAACTAACATTCAAAGGCATTAAGCCAGTCCTCTGGTTATCTCTAGCTGTTGCAATAAGATACACTTGTTTTTGGGAGAGACAGGCAGGTTCTGTACTTCTTAGAAAGACAGAGAGACCTGGATGATTCTAAAATGGCGTCACTTTGGTCAATAGAAAATGTTAGCTAAAGTATAGAAAATGGCTCTCAAACTGCAGGGAAATGGCTCAGGAATGCAGGGTTGGTTTTCATACCTGTCTGAGATGCCTCCAACATATATATCTACACTTCACATAGGAGAAGCAGTTTGGCACTGTCACTGGCATGGGGACACATAGCTTCCCTTCTGCAATAAAACCGGATTTCTTCATCTACTTTATTAGGGTAGAGTTTATCCAAAGAATTGTGAGTTGATCTTCACATCATCACTTGTTGTTCCATGAGGGTGTTATTCATGCACTTCTCTGTGTATTTAGGGAAGCCTACTGATTTCCTCCTGATGACATCTTCCATTTAGTAACATACCTTAGGTTTTATTTTAAGTAGTTGTACATCAATCAAACATCACTTCTTGACAGTTCAAGGGCCTAATACTATCTCTGACCTTTTAGCCACTTGTCTGCTGCAGTAAGCATCACATCCCTCTGTGTCTTGTAGAATTCTATGACTCTGGAAGACAATCCATCTCAATTAGAAGACTCAAAAGTAAAGTCCTGATGGCAGAAACAACACATCTGAGCAGCAGTTTACAACAGAAACAAAAATCTGATATCATCTCATGGATACTACACACAGATTTGACTCAGTTTCGAATTGTGCTATTGAGGGCCAAACTAGACAAGTGGGTGGCCATGGGGCCAACCCATGGACACTGAAGCTGTTTTGGAAGAGAACATGGCCATTTAAAAATTGCCACAAGGGACTGATCCTGATTGGGCCCACGACACAGCGATAGCAGGCAATCTTGTTTGTTCCCTCTGTGTCTTTTAAAGCAACAATACAGCCTCCCATAGCTGTTTTGGCACTTGAAAAGGCACAGGCACAAACCCTTTTAAAATGGCTTTATTCTCCTCTGCAGTGATGTTGGTGGCCAGGGGTTTAAGTTTAATGGGTATAAGATCAGCTTAATGATGTTATATCAGTGGTACTAATGGACAAAAGTAACTACACCCCCCCACTCACTATACATGTATGTCATGAAAAGTAGGTTATACAATAAATAAAATAAACTTAGCTCAATATATGTGTAATAATACAAAGCAAAAAAATTCTCAGTGATCTAGTATACTAGATATATTTGCATTACCTGTCTACATGGTCAAAGAAACCTTTTTGACCCCACTGTTGAAGCAGCTGCGATATCATAAGCTGCAGAAATAAAACCTCTAGTAAATATTATGCTCATGTATCAAACAGATAGAACAAATAATCTAGATGGCAAAAATATTAGCAGGCACATGTGTCTAAATTCACTGTAACCTTTGAAAAAGCCCAAAACCTGAGTTCTCAAAGTGCTCTGCTAATACATGCCCTATCAAAATTATTAGGCTTGGTGCTGCCAAAGAACTGTGAGCGATATTCAGAGACCCAAAGCAGAGACTGCATGTATTGATCCCTAGTGCGTCCTAGTTTCCCATTCCACCATTCTCAATTATCCTGCTAACTCAAAGGAACAGACAAGGGGCTAGTTACAGCAAAACTGTATGTCCCAGAGCAGGCAGTGTTGCTAATTGGCTTTGTATATTTCCAAGTGCTGGAAAAGTTTTCAAACTTTTGAATATAATTCTCCCAAATACAATTTTCCTATATATTTCATAAACTATTTTTAACATCCAACTAATTGAAAGTACAGGTAATATGTGAAGGTATTGCTGCTTTAATCTCCATTTATATCTTTATCATATCTCCTTGTCCCTTAGAAAACATATATAACCTTTGTGCAAATCATGCTGTAAGTACAATAGAGGTGGGAAAGAGAAATGGTAAATGATTAACATTTTTTATAAAGAATTTTATTAGTTTATATAAAGAAAGTAGGGAAGGGGTAAGGAAGGAAAAAGGAAAATAAAATAATGTAAAATATTCAAGTTCCAGTTTAACATTCTGCATGCATATCTTCTCATTACAATTTCACAACTACTTCAAATGATGAACATTTATTCTTAATGTGACCTTTGTAACCGTGTATGGCTCTGCAATTCAGATGGCCAAGCAATTACTATCTATACAGAATTGTGAAACTAGTATTTCTTACACTAAAGCATATACAGGTGGGAGCTCTGAAGTACTCACCTGAGTGAAAGTGCTGGTATGCATTGTAGAGACCTGTACATGCAGAATAACTCTGTCAATGAGAGGTTTGGGACCAGTTAGAAAGCCTATTCTTAACCTAGGTAAAAGAAAGTAACAGTTACCTCAGAATATTGGGTACCATCAATATTTAATTAAAAGTTAATATGACATTATATTTGAAAACTCATCTTCTCCCCTGACATTTAACTTGACTTTGAATTAACAGCAAATAATTATATATGGAAGCAAGAGCATATAAAACCAATGAATTATCTGCTAGTCTGAAAAATTTAGCAATAGAACTTTGACAAGTGTAGGATGGGTGAATGCCTAACCATGATGCACTCTCAGAAAGAAGAATCTAGATTTTAGTAACAGAAAGGAGAGAAAGGTGGAATGGAAGATTTAAGAAAATAGCTGTAAACCAGTTATACAATAGTTGTAAATGAGCAATCATAGAAAGGAGAAAACTCCCTCCCCCAATCCACTGTGAGCGTTCTCTGAGCTGTCAGGGACTTGAACAGGCTCATCTATCCCCCTCTCCCTTCTTTTCTGTTAATGGATGTGTGGCATGATGGCTTTACTGCCCTGTAAATGCAAGGGTATTTTCTTTCAGACTTCCCCTGCCACCTCACAGTCCAGTCAGGAAAGCTGGGGCAGAAAGCTACTTCTTGCCTGTCCTTTCTTCCCTCTCTGATAGGTGCCACCACCTCGGGGTTAATACCTCCCCCCCCCTTAATGTAGCCTGAGAACCATCAGTAAAAGGGGTACATTTTGTTAGCATCACCAAGTAGCGATGCAGTGAGTAAGGAAGTGTGCAGCTTGTTAGTTAAACAATCTACGGGTAGCTACAAGACAGGTTCGAGGTAAGCTAAGCAAAACAGACAGAAGCATCACTGGCTATTTATTTACAATCCTTGAGCATCTGGTCATTGCCAGCTGCATGGTGCCCCACCCCAGGCATACCTACAAGCATCCTCCGACGTAATTTTCCTTTGCCCCACCTACAAGCATCCTCCGACGTAATTTTCCTCTCTCATCACGTGAGCAATCATGCTTTGCCCAACACCAACCACAACCACACAAAGGAATAGCTCTCCTTTTCAGACCCCCCCCTCCCAATGTGGACTCCTAGGGCCTTAGCCAATTCAGGTTCCAGGTCCTGGGGTTCACTCCACCCAAACATGTTCAATCAAGAGGTGTTAACACATCAAGGAGCTAACTGACCCTCTCTATCCAGAGAAGTCTATCTTTCTAATATTCTATCTGTCACAGGGACACCAACTCACCATTCCATCACCAATACTGTCACAGCATATCTTGCCTATTTGCCCATCATCCACAACAGGATGATCAACTGATCCAAATATTATGTCTGTTTTGGAGCATATTTAGTTCTCATCAGGCTGTTTTTCTGGAGGGGTTCCTCCCCTTTCACCTTTAGTAAATTTACAAAGTCATATTTTTCTGCCTAGCTGGATAGTTCCCCAAGTATGTAGAAATCTCTGCCTTGTTTGTAGATGGCCACATTGTGTCACTTTCATCATCCACATAGGGACCAGCCAGTTCACTATTGGAAATACATTTGCAAAATCAAGACAGTAATCCAGATTTCTATTTCTGAGAGCTTGATGGGGCTCTCCTGGAACTGCATTTTCCACTAGTGCTGTGCTCTAACCACAGGTGACCTTACCCAGAAGAGAGGACCTTAGAGAAAGAGTCAGCCCGCACAACTCGGCCATCAACGTCCATTGAAAGAAAGGTTGGTGCCCAAGGCTTGTAAAAGAAGACAAATAAGTATCTCCATTAATGGAACTTAAACATGCTGTTTTAAAGGCATTTGAGGCAGTGGTAACATGAGAGATTACCTGGTAAACTATCTGGTGTTATTGCTTTTAACTACTGGTGGCATGTGAGAGCCTGAGGACATGGAAATGCAATATGGAGTTTTCATTGCTGGAAACAGTGACTGCAGTCATAGGAACTTATCCAGAGAGAGTTAATCAGGCTGATAGTTAAGCAGTGTTTTAGCTGCTCAAGACCTTTTTACTTTTGTAGTTTTAAGTGCACCATCATGATTAGAGTAAACAATTCTACTAAACAAGAAAGAGTAGAGACAGATCATTCTGCAAGACATCAGGCATTTGGTCTCAGGGAGATGTAGGTTAAATGAAGATTTGCTTCCTATTCTAATGCAAATAAAAATTATAAATATAAAAAAGACTAAATGAGAACTCACCTTACTAAACTGAAGGAAGTAATATGGATCATCTTCTATTATTAGGAAATCATACTGTCTTGCAAGCTAAAAAGGAAGATAAAAACACCAACACATACATAAAGTTTATTAAATCAGAATGAATTGAATCCAAGGACTTCTTTCCTTCAGATTTCTCATTCAAAGTAAGGGAATCCTTGAACTCAACTTAATGACTTCGATCCTACAAAAGATTTATCATTATTTTATTCCACATTTCCCTGTTGTCAGTAAACATTCAGATGGAATGGGTGAATTCCAGTTTTGTTCCAGGTGTAAGCATTTTTTTAAATTGGTGGAGACTAATGGTCCTGATTCAGATAACTACATGCACTCTCATATACAACCATATCTTTCGCAAATACTTTCAATGAGGGAGATGATTCATGAATGCAAAAAAAAAAAAAAGTGTACGCAACTCACCTTGTTTCATGGGTAAAAACAGCAGAAGAGCAGTTCATTTTTTGAAACTGCTGGGCAAAGGAGAAGGGAAATTCATGTCTTTACCCATAAATTCCAGAGAATGTCAGAGGAGCCACAGAGTACTTCAATCAGCACCATATACACAGTACACACAACAAATCATACAGTTGCTAACTCAGTCTTCCTGTCCCCAGTTACTGAAGCCAGCACCACCTGCTAGTCAGAAACAGTATGACTGCATTTAGTCCTCTGTCTTCAATACAGCCTTCCAGGCTCGACAGGCATAGGTGAGAGTTCCCAGCGTTCTAGCAACCATCCCAAAATATGGCCAGTGGTTCAATAAAAGAACTACCTCACTGATCAGTGCTGGAAATTAATGGAGAAAGTGGTCTGTATTAAGGGAGCTCTATGAAAATTTCTCAATTTTTGTGTCTGGAACAGTCTGATGGATTAGACTGCAGAGCTGCAATTGAGCGTGTGTAATTAATGAATGCTTTAGCCATACTTTTTTGAAAAGTATATATTTTCCCTTGTCATATTGTAGTAAGACAAGTTATTACCCATATGCAATAGATTCCTCTTCTGCTCTAGCAATAACACTTACTTGAATAAAAGAATATGGATCTCAAATACAAAACAGTTTTGTGTCCTAACCTGGTGAATAAACTATATATTTTACTTTATAGTGAGAGTGGTAACGAATGGATGTGGTTACAATTATGGCTGAATAAGGCTACTTGATTGACAGGGTAGAACTATAGTGATGTTAAGCTTGGGGAAGCCACTCCTCAAATCACAGTACTCTTCAAGCGAAGAAGGGAGAGATTGCTGCCCCTCTCTGGGATCTGGCATCCACTTCAGACATATCCTATCCTACTACAGAAACACATTATTGCTCCCTCAAAATCCCATGAAATAAAACCATGTTCTCAGCACTTGCATTTTGCTGGTATGTAATACCTCGCAGATTCACCTGACCCAAAATGACAACTTTTTTGGCCTAAACTTCAAACTATTAATCTGACTGATATACCTGATAGATCTCTTTCTTGCGATCTTCTGTCAATGAGGTTCCAGTGGGATTGCTGCCATTAGGAATTGTGTAGAGAAATTTGGGGAGGCTGCTGTTGGGTTTTCTTGTGCCTTCTGGACTCCACCTGGAAAGAATTCCTTTCAGTTCTTTGGGAATAATACCATGTTGGTCACTGGGAATGCTGATGATGTTACTGCCCAACGGTTTCAGCTGTTTTAATCAAAATAATAAGAAAAGGCAAGAAAAGAGAACAACATTTATTTAAGCAATCCATTTTGCATTTCACAAATTTAATTATGGCAGCTGTTATAGTATTGCAGTACTGCTAATTCTCCCCTGTAAATCAACCTTAAGATTTTAAATTCTCTAACAGTGCAATCCTAAATAGAGTTATACTCTTCTAAACCCACTGAAATAAAGTGGATTTAGATGGGTGTACCTCAGATTAGGATGGCACTCTAATTCCCACACTGTACAGGTAATAAATAATATATGAGTCACATGTAAAAACTAATGAATAATTTAAAAATCACAGAAAAACAACTGTGGACTAATCCACTACAGTTGTGCATTTTGTCCTGATGTGATCCCTCCCCTGTTCCATTTCACGTTACATCTTTAGGGTACCAGGAGTCTCAAACTAGGGCTCCCAGGGCCTTTGGCATCATGACCCCCATATTACAAGCATCTTGTATCTACTGCAAACCTGGCAGTCTGAAATCTGTGTTATCTGTGAAATCTGTGAGAGTGCCTCCTGGGCTAGTTTTTTAGGTGTACACCTAACAGTTTTTAAAAAATAAAATGTACATTTAAAAATGTGATGTGCTAATTAGACAAACAGAAGATTACTCAGACAAATAGAAAATTATTCAGACAGCTCAGCATAAACTTGCTTGCAAAGGGGTGTGTGTGTCATTTTCCAGTAATGTGCAGAACAACCCAGAGTCTGTCTCTCATCACTTATTAGGTGAAACTCCAAGAACCATAAACTCCTCTGTCTCAAAAGAAGACAGACTAATGGCTTCAAATGCAAGATGTTCAGCAATTGGACTGAAATTTCAATAATGTTAATAGAACAGTCAGAGAACATAGAGAGGTATGGGCAATTATGGCAGAGCTTTAAAATAAGGAGTCTGCAATTTCTCTTTCTGCACTAACTAGCCTTTCATTTATTAGGTCATAAATAAAATGCAGCTGCAAAAGTTTTATACTGTCCCCTGGAATAGGTAATGAAAAAATATTGCCAATAATACACTAAGTCAAGTAATAAATCATCCCGACATTCAGTGATTTGTAGAATCAGGAAATGCTGAACTATTATACGTAATATTGACAGGGATAAGATTTATTCTGCCATATCATCCATTCGTGTATTTCATTTAAATGCACAGGGTGCATGTGCAGCCGCTGAGCACAAGGCCGGTTGGCCCATGTCAACAGGCTCTTTCCCCGTGCAGCCCTTCCCGTGTGGGCAGAAAAACTGCATCTGAACCAAGCTGTGCCCTGAGACTTTTCACAACCATTTTGGTGACCACAGTAACTAGAAAGACCTCAGCCACAATTGCAGAAATGGCTAAATTGTTTCTATGTGCAATCCGGTCCAGCACTGAGAATTGTACAGGATTCTAGACACAGTAGGAATTATGGAGAGGGAATAGTGGGTTTGCATATATAAAGAGGCCCAGATTTGTCTTTCCAGAGATTTTCCCCATATGTTTCATCTCATGGAAGCTCAGTAGGCCACAGGTTGCCAGGCCACCCCAGTTTTACACATAACCTATTAAAATAAGGATTTAGTGATATGGATAAACCCACTCAAGGACCCAGAAGTATATGTTCTTTACTAAGGGTGGGCCTATACATTATGCTTTATACAAGATGCCAATGGGGACTGGCAGACATATTGCAGCTGTGAATTACCAGTGGCAACTCCTGTATAAAAATGCAGTAGGCGCCCAATTTGGATATAAACTGTGGTATGGGGGGGAGAGGGACTCCTGTCTTCCTCCCAGGCTGTTTTAGCTTCCAAAAATGGTACAGGGGAGGGGAAGGCAGGAGCCCCTCTCCTTATTCCACGGTCCTGAATCAAATCAGCCCCCTGCTGCACTTTTACACAGGAGCTTGAAAATGAAGTATGGCTGCAAGTCCTTGTTACAAACTCATGTAATGTCTAATTTGAGCCTAAGGCCGTTTCTACATGGGGACTGTTTATCAAGTTATTCAGTATATCTAGTCCCAAGAAGCCACGTGTTCTGTAAGAAGCCCAAGCTGACCCTTGCCCCTCACATTCCTGCACAGTATAGGAAGATGACAGCTGGGGAGATTGCCATGCAAGCCATACTTCTGAGTGTACAATGACAGTTTGGTGCTCAATGATGTACCACAGTGCCAGGAGCAAGAAACTATCCTGTGCAAATATGATTTTATTGTGCATTTCTAGTTCTTGGATGAATTAAGAGATCATAAGAACATAAGAGAAGCCAATGTTGGGTCAGGCCAGTGGCCCATCCAGTCCAACACTCTGTCACATAGTGGCCAAAAATACCAGGTGCCATCAGGAGGTCCATCAGTGGGGCCAGGACACTAGAAGCCCTCCCATTGGTGCCTCAAGCACCAAGAATACAGAGCATCCCTTGCCCCAGACCAAGAGTTCCTATCTATACATTGTAGCTAATAGCCACTGATGGACCTCTGCTCCATATGTTTATTTAATTCCCTCTTGAAGCCGTCCATGCTTGTAGCTGCCACCACCTCTTGTGGCAGTGAATTCCATGTGTTAATCACTCTTTGGGCGAAGAAGTACTTCCTTTTATCTGTTCTAATCCGACTGCTCCGCAATTTTATTTCATTAGGAAATGAGAAATTAGGAAATGGGAAATGTACACACATTTAGGGATAACAATTATGAAACCTGGATAAGTATTTATAACTAGGTTATTTTTAATTGATTTATAGTTTTCCAGAGCTCAGGAAAGGATAAGAACTCTAGACTGCCAGATAATGTTGAAAGTGCACATGAATAATACCAACAGCCTTTAGTGCCACTGGTTTCCAGACCGACAGAATACTCACAGCTGCTAGTGTCCCAGGGTAGCTGGGTACATCTAAAAGGACCGTGTCTCCAGGATTAATAAGCATCTCAAACACCTACAAAAAACATTTTACAAGGCTGTCTGTATGCTGTTAGTAAAATACAAGTACCACTGTGGAGCAAAAATACAGTTTTAAAAGATCAGAGTACAGACTATTAACATGAAATACTAACTTTATGGAATATGAACCATTTAAAAAAAAACTCATAAAATATATTTAATCCCTCAGAAAGAATCAGCTGAGAAAAAGAACAGACTAGAAAAAAGGAAAACTTATTGCAGTGTATAAAAAACCCCGCTAAGTTAATCATAATGAAGGTGAAATTACAGAACATAAAATCCTACTCAATGGTACCACCACAATCCATTTTTTAGCTTCTAAGAATATGTGGCAACAGAATGGACTGAAACACTAGCAAATGGTCCCTTATTTAGACTGCAGAAATGCTTATTTGATGATAAATTTTGCCTATTTCACAGATCATTGGCCAAAAGAGTAAATATTTAGTAATTATGTGGAAGCTATTAATACAGGGCAATGACCTTGTCAGACTCAAACTGCACGTTTTAAAAATTTGTTTCATGGTGTTCAATGCCATAAATTCTGTTTTCCAAAATAAATAAATAAATCAAACAATGAGAACAACCCCCCAGAGAACAGGCTCCACTTTAGGATAGACTTCTTCAAGAATACCTCTCCCAGGTCCTTTCTGAAAGTTTAATTCTCACTGCAGGAGATGGTAGGTGCAGAATTAGATCTGTATTTCTCTCCCCCACAACGCGGCTATTTAGAGGTAATGTTCCTCATCCTCTAATCCACAGTGCCAGCTGTATTTCTCTCTCCCACAACGCGGCTATTCAGATGTTCCTCATCCTCTAATCCACAGTGCCACCAGCTGACCCACTGGGTTGTGCCATTCACCACTCACCACTATTGGCCCCCCGCAGCTGCCTGAGCCGGAGCCGTCCAGGCCGCTGGAACCACATGTGTACAGGACTGAAGCTGCAAATGTTTCTGAGGCAGCCCAGTCTCCTCCCTCTCCAGGGGTGTGGTGCCTACTCCTGGAAAATACGCACCTCTTTAAGATACCAAATTTTCCCAAGAAGGACAAACCTAAATGTAACCTCACCTCCCTAAGATTGTTATACACAAGATTGTTTTGTGTTACTGTATACTGTATACAGCTGCGGTGGTTCAAGTGGTTAAGATGCTGAACTGCAGGCTGTGGAAGGTCGGTAGTTCAGCAGTTCGAGACCCGGGTGCCGCATGATGGAGTGAGCTCCCATCTCTAGTTCCAGCTCCTGCCAACCTAGCAGTTCGAAAGCAAGAAATTGCAAGTAGATAAATAGGTACCACTTCGATGGGAAGGTAACAGTGTTCCGTGCGCCTTGGGGTTTAGTCATGCCGGCCACATGACCATGGAAACGTCTTCGGACAGCGCTGGCTCTTCGCACCGCAACGCTAGAGTCGGATTCGACTGGCTTTTGAGCAAGGGAACCTTTACCTTTACTTTATACACTTATTATATGCAAATGTAAGATAACTCTCTTGATGGGACACCTGAAAACAGTAGTTTTCCTTCTGGGTAAATAATACTTTAATCAGCTGTGGAATCAGTGGAAATTACATCAGAAGCATTGTGAAGATTGGCTGGTGGTGAGGAAACATAGTATACTTCACAGGAGAAAAAACAGTACTAGCTCCTCTTTAAAATGCCACCTGTATACATCTTATACAAACTTTTTACCAACATCAGTGCATTTCCTCTATGAGCCGTATACAATGGATATCTTTTTGCAAAGCAAAATTGCCAATGATGACTGCTGCTTCCCCAAGAGCACTACGCTCTATGGATCAACACTTCCTGGTAGTACCTGGCCCAAAAGATGTCCGTCTTGCCTCAACCAGGGCCAGGGCTTTTTCCACCCTGGCCCATGCCTAGTGGAGCATGTTCCCCATTGAGATCAGGGCCCTGTGGGATCTACTTCAATTCCGCAGGGCCTGCAAGACGGAGCTGTTCCACCAGGCCTTTGGCTGAGGCAGTGGATGTCCATATATGGCCTCCCTGAGGTGTTTGTCACTCTGTTAACAGCTACTGGCTATGGCCAGGAACCTCCCACAACCAGATATTTTTTTTTGTTATTAGCTGTGACCACCATTTTAATATTTGTGATGATTTTAAATTTTAATGTTATTACATTAACTAATATATTTTGTATAAATGATATGTTGTTACCCGCCCTGAGCCCGCTTCTGGGAAGGGTGGGCTATAAATGTGAATAAATAAATATATTTCAAGTTGTCATTACAGGGTATTGGGGAAAGTTTTCAACTAGTAACAATCATGCCTTCGATTAACCTAAGGCACTGCCACTGTGCAAAGCTAGACATTGTGCCACAGTGAGGAAGGGAAGCAACGAATCAGGGAAAAAGGAAGAATGATTTTATTTAATACCAACTTCAATATATTAATAGTTTGAAATCTTACTTTACACAAGCCGTCTTGGCTGCCAGTGGTGACACATATCTCCATTTGTCCTTCTTCAGGTTTGAAGTTAGATGTCGGAGGGTTATGGAGCCTCTTCTGTAAATCTTTCAGCCACAACAACAACTCTGGAATGCTGAATGTAGATTTATGTTTATGTCAGTTAGCACTTAAATATGTTTCTTGTGTTAATTATGCTTTATTAGTCAACAGAGACACCTTAAGCTCTTGGTTTTTTAAAAAAATTCATTACAGGCAATGGAAAGATATAAAGCTGAATGTGAGGGACCATGGCTCAGTGGTAGAGCATCTGTTTTGTGTTCAGAAGGTCCCCAGTTCAATCCCTGGCTTCTCCAATTAAAAGGACCTGCTGGTAGGTGATATGAAAGACCTCTGCCTGAGACCCTGGACAGCTGCTGCCAATCTGAGTAAACAATACTGACCTAGATGGACCAATGGTCTGATTCAGTATAAGGCAGCTTTGATGTGTTTATACAGGGATACTGGATACTGCAGTATTTAATATCAAAACACTGTAGTGAGTTTTGGTCTTTGTAAAGGATCACTACCAAACTATTTCACAGTTAATATCAACTTTTGTGAAGAAATGCATTTTTTCTTTGGAGGTTTTAAATTAGCAAAACTTTCTGAGTTTTAAAAGTTTGTTTCTCCCTCTGGACAGAGAACAGGCTGGGAGGAAGTCAGTTCAATTGTTTTCCAGACTTAACCACAGCCCACCTTCATACAAATGCTAATAGGTCTAGACAATGGGATGGTCACCCCCCCCCCCCCCACGGAGAAACAACACTTGGGGGGGGTAGGAGGTGTTAGAGAGACTTCAGGAAGGAATTCCTGAAGAATCTCCAGGAAAACCTTCTCTGACCTGGTCAGTGAGTGAGGAAGAGAGGTGATACAACTCCTTGAAGCAAGGAGGAAGGTCTCTTTGGGTATGGAGTCCCTCACAGCAGACACAACTCTTAACTGAGGTCTGGAGGAGGCAGCCATTAACAATGTGCTGGCCTGAAAAGTTGAAGGAAGCTGCAAGGTAATGACACTCTGTAGAGATCTATAACACCATAAGCTAAGGAGCCTGTCCAATGTTTTAACATCTGATAGGGTATGTATATATAGAGGAATTGCATTTTACCTATTTCTTTTGAATCCCTTGCTTGATCTGGTGCTCTGCTAAAAGTATGCTTGTGAACATTTTCTCTTTAATAAATACTTTATAACTTTTGGTGCTGGTCTTTGTACCACATAGACCTCAACCATCTTGGACATGCTATTTTAAAAGGAGCATCAGGGGGAGGCAGGCAGTTGGCAAGCGGCTATTCCTCTAGGGGTGCACAAGGCAGTAAAGGGTCCTTGTGGTGACCAGATGCTGGGCAATGGGAGACACAGAGTCAAGGCATCAGAAGAATCTGCATAGCCAATCAGATCTCTAGTGGGTAATCAGAAACTCTACTGGGCAGAAGCCCAACTGGCACTGCCCACTTTCTAAAAAACACTCTATGGGTGCCTGGAAAGGTGTTGGTGGGCACTATGGCACACACTGGCACCACACGGGGGCCCCTGAGTCAGATCTATGGTGCCTGCAGTGTACCCAGCTGAGCCAGAATACTGGAGGGCTCTCGTCATCAACTCTTCCCCAATTTCAATGGTTGTTCCATCTCCAACAGTAATACTGGCTGCTTTGAAAGGAAAGGTGTTGGGATTTGGTGCCCCTCCAGCCAGTGAAATAAGTGATGGGGGAGACCTCTGCATCAGTTCCGCTGAAGGAGGAAAAAACAAAACAAAATAAGGGATCACTGAGATTTAAGGCATAATATGTCTTTTTAACCCACACCTTTACTTAATTATTTCTTTAGAATTTCTACCCACTCCACTGAGTAGTCAGAGAGGTAATCAAAGAATGCAGTACAACAGAATTAAAAAACATTAACAATAAAAAGCCCATTATAATTTAAAATATTACAAGTTCAAATAAAGTATAAATAAGTGTTACAACGAAAAGCCCCCCCAAATGTTTGGAAATTGTTATTCTAAAGTCAGCCCTCCTTAATATCTTTAAACACTAATTTATTTCTTACTTATAACATTTCTATGCCATTTTTCCACTCAATTCAGAGCAATTATGGCCTCTTGGCGGGCGGGGGGGGGGGGATTCAAAACTGCACTGGGGGAAAAAAGACATTAGGGGT